GCCTGAGGTGGGGCTTGAACTTGCAAACCACAGGATCATGACCTGAGCCAAAGTCTCACAATTAATTTCCTGAGCCACCGAGGAGACCCCAAAATAAATTTTTTTAAAAAGTGGTGTATCCATATAATAGAAGATTACTTGGTCACAAAAAGGAATGAAGTACTGATTCATGCCACAACATGGATAAACCTGAAAACATTAGAGAAAGATACTAGTCACAAAAGATCACAAATTGTATGATTCTATTTATATGAAATGTCCAGAACAGGCAAACCTATGGAGTTAGAAAGTAGCTTAATGCTTGCTGAGAGCCAGCAATGAGAGGCAGGAAGAAATGGGGTGTGACTACTAATGGATACAGGGTTTCTTTGAGAGGATGATTAAAACGTTTCAAAAATGTGGTGATCACTGTACAACTCCACAAATATACTAAAAACCACTGGACTGTAGGATTTAAATAGGTTAATTATATGGGATGTGAATTATATCTCATTAAAACTGTTATGAAAAGGGGCGCCTGGGTGGCGCAGTCGGTTAAGCGTCCGACTTCAGCCAGGTCACGATCTCCCGGTCCGTGAGTTCGAGCCCCGCGTCAGGCTCTGGGCTGATGGCTCAGAGCCTGGAGCCTGTTTCCGATTCTGTGTCTCCCTCTCTCTCTGCCCCTCCCCCGTTCATGCTCTGTCTCTCTCTGTCCCCAAAATAAATAAACGTTGAAAAAAAAAAATAAAAAAAAAAAAAACTGTTATGAAAAAATAAACCAAAATATGAAAACATGAAACCTAATGAGCATCATATGCAGGTAATTGGCAATGCTGTGTTATGGCTAGAACATAGAGAATAAGATGAGAAGGAAAGAAATGAGGCTGAAAACATAAAGAGGTCCAAAGACCTTGGGTGACAGATTAAGATTTATCTTGAAAGCTACGAGATGTCATTTATGACTAACAAATAGTAGCTTTTAAGTATATAGTACTTTTCATCCAGAAGCTTAACTGTGAAAGAAAGGCATGGTAGTTGCCAAAGAAAGATACCAAATAGGGGAAATGTTATTTAATCTTTAAAATAAAGATCAGATAGATTTCACCAATTTATAGAAGAACTTAATACAGAGAGTCTGAAAATACAGAAGATCTAACAGATCTAACAAATGAAGCAAGTTTCCTGAAAAAATAGAAGCATAATGGAATCCTAGAGTCAGGTTAGAGGGGCTAACCCTAGATGGAAAGGGTCACCTCTTCAACAAGGTAAGACTTCAACAAGGTAAGACTTCAAGGTTTATAAGAAGGGAAACAATAAGTAGAGAAAGCTCCCACTAGTGATATATGTTTTCTCTGAGAGTGAGGGAAGTGGCTACAAAAAAAAAGTGTTTAAGAGAAAAAAAAAATTAAATTGATAATATTTCCTAACGGAAAAGGGAAAGGAAGCAGATTAGTGACACAAAAAATATTTAGGTACTATCGAGAACCCAACCAATGCCTAGCAATCAAAGAGTGGTACCATTTCATAAGGCTGTGTAAATATCTCCAGCAGTGTTCTATACCCTGGCTATAAGAATGGAGAAAATGGATGGTTGGATTTACTGGGGCTAAGATTTGCAAGATAAATGAATAGCAAAAAGAGAGAGAAAGGAGTATGAAGGTGCATTAAGAAGGAAGAAAGGCAAGGAGTGATCTGACTTAGAAGAAAATAACACAGTCAAAGGCCTAGCAATCCCAATGAAGATCAAGAGTAGCTATAACTAGAGTGAGGGGTTGCTAAAATAACAGATTTTCATCACAGAGTGTTAATGGTAATATCATTACCAGATCAAACATCTAAGTCATCTTCAACCATTCCCTCGCCTGCAACATGCAATCTTGTTAAGTCTTAACTCATCGTACCTCTATAATTCTTGCAGTTCTCCCCTGCTCTCTATTCCTAATGCTACCAGGGCTTTATTATAGTTCCACTTGACTCTTGATGGAGCTTCATAAAACAGGTCTCCCAACTTCTAGTCTTCCAGGCCATTTCACCAATTTTTCTAAATGACTATCATGGTCAATACTCTGTTTCAGCTACTGCCCACCATTTATCAAAGTTCCAAATTCTCTGTGTGGTGATCAAAATCCTCATCATGTAGCCCTAACTTAACTTCTCATTCTTTTTCTACTACTACTGACCTTCATACATCTTAACTGCAAATCAGCCTGAACCCCTCAACATTTGTCAGTGGCCTTATGCTCTCTTGCTTTCTGACTCAGGTAAATTCTGTTACCTAGAATTCTCCTGCCCATATCTACAATTCCAATTCCACCATTCTACAAGCCCTGGTTCAAATGCTACTTTAACCCCTCTAACAAATATAATCTACCCCCTCCTCTTAATTCCTATAAAACTAGACTTCTCTAGGAAGACTTACATTTTGTTATCATTATTCATGTATCTTAAATTCTCTATTAATCTGCAAAGGCCTATGTCTTACTTGTATTTTTGTATCCTTAGTAACGGGAATAAAACAGACTTTCCAAAAAAATCTAGTAAATGAATAAATATTACATGTATGACCTTCTATGGGAGATTGCACTTTATTGGACCCTCTAGAACAGAGGTTCTTAAATTGGGGGCAGTAAACCTGAAAGGAGTTACCAATTTACTTCAGATATAGAAACATCCTGAAAATGTTATGTTTATGTACAAACGTACATGTATTTTTCTGAGGCAAAGTCCATAAATTTCATCAGATTCTCAAAAGGGTTTAAGAAATTAATCACTGTGTTTGTGTAGTTACTTTAATAAGAAAGAGTCCTTTTACAGATTCATTCTAAAATATTTATAGCTATAAAAAATGGCTGATATATGATCCAAAATAACTAATGTATTGGGTGGGGAGTAGTGGATAGGTATATAAATGATACAACATTGGTCATGGTTTGATAACTGGATCAAATTATTGAAGCTGAGCAATTGGTACATAGCAACTCATCATATTATTCATTATACCTTTGTATATGTTGGAAACTTTCCAACATAGGATTTTTCTTTTTAAGAAATAAAAAGCCCCAAAAGGTTAAAAACACAGATTTCATCTAACTTTAGGATTCAATCAGCCTCCAAGGAAGCCTCTGGCTTAGGTTCGTTGCTTCTCAGAAACTACATCAGAGTCAAATTGGCTTTTTCAAAGTGGAACAAATGAGCCACCATTTGCTGTTATTTACAATAAAAGAAAATTTTCATTAGAATCAAATAGGCTATCTAAATAGCTAACATGTATTAAATGGAAAAATATGCAAAGAGTTTGAAAAAAATCTTACTGTGCTCAACATTAGCTAGGATTCTATTTGTGTATAATGTTCAAATCTAAGCTTCACATTTTTAGAAAGATATGAATAATTTGGAGAAGATTCATGGGGGGGAAATGGTCAAAAGGTTTGAATACTTCCTCATCTTTATAAGATGATTTAAAGTGGCAAAAAAAGAACAAAAGATTACTTAGTAGCAAACTTCAAATGTAGTAACACTGATAGAAACCTGATTCTCCATTTTTACTTATGACAGATCCCCAGAAACTAGATTAAATTTTCTCATCTCTCAGAAGGAATTAGACTACATGATTATTAAGTTAACTATTAGTTTTAAAATTCTCTGATGCCCTGGTTTTTGATAGGTGCATTAGTTGAGAAAAGCTATTATCCCTATTTCTTTTCTCAAAACACAAATATTTAGACTAGATATAATGAAGTACTGTATTTCCTTATTGCAGAGGCATTAGAGAATCAAATCCGAATCCATGAAATGTCTATTTTCCTCCTACCTTATCCTTCCCTTTCTTTCCAGCCCCCCAACCCCACTCATATTACATTAAAATAGTTGAGTTGAAGTCTAGCCTAAGGGCAGGAGAATGAGCAATATGAATTCTTAAATTCCCTTTAGCCTGATGATGCTATGATTGAACTATTTCTCATCCACCAAAGATAGAAGGTTATAAGTGTAATGCATCCCTTGCACCTAAGCCTTTTACTGGCCCCCTTCTCAAATGCTAAAGTGGGTAATTCTATCTCCATATTAACTTGTTGACCTACTGAGTAACTGATGAAGACTGAAGGCAATCTTCAAGAAGTCTGTTTAACGTACACAGTTTAAGTATTAACTCTGTATTTTAGAACCCAAAATTGCGTTGGCAGAAATATCATATGTCAAACAGAAAGGAACATTTTGTAACATGGAAGAGGTGAGAAAAAATAGAGAGGGATATAGAACAAAATGTTTTACAATCATATCTGTACTCTCATACTCTTATTTTCCACTTATGGTAACCGAGGCATTGCCTTGTGGAAAAATTAACACTAAGTAGAAAAGAATGTGATAAAGTAAGGAAATCCTAAGAATTCTATACAACTAGGAAAAAAAAAACAGAAAAAAAAATCTTAAATAGCATTATGTTCTTTTAAAAAGCCTAATAAGCATAAACTAATATATTATTAATAGAAATTATCAGAAAGCATCACGACTAAATTTGTATACATATTTTTATACAGGAAAATAAATATTAGGTTTGAACCTGAATTTCTCTTTATCATTCTTCTCAGGGTATACAGAACTGCTAAAATATAACTAACATTGCCCAAAACTAGGGCTCTTAAATTCTCCCATAAAATACTCTGACATCCCCCAAAAGTGCTGTTAAAATATGCAAAAGTGTCCATTCCAAAGCAAAGCTATCCCTCCATTCCTTATAAAAGATTCAAGCTAAAGAAAAGCAGAAAGTAAAACCCAACAGCTGAAGACAACATCAGGCTATTTATAAGTCTTCTCCTAGTCCCCCAGACACCCTCACATGGGGGCTATAAACAGCTAACCAAAATATCTTTGAGGCTCTCATATCCACACCCACTGACACAAGTAGAGCTGAACCCACAGTGAAACTAGACTTCAGTTTCCTTTAGTAAGTATGTGCCTGCAATAGTAAACTGGAGTAAATGTTAACAGTAATAAAACATTAAAAAAAAAAAAAAGAATCATACCTTTTTCTCCAACAAATGGTAAAGACCATGTGAAGACATCCATAAAATTGGGCAACCAGTAAGGATGTGGAGAACAGTTAAACTGTCGAATATTCATCACATTATTTTCATACTTTAATACAGCAGCTGAAAGAGAAGTTTGAATGTGAATGTAACAATTTGTCTTTAGCTCCAAAAGTCTAAAACACATAAAAGCAAAAAAATATTGTTTTAAGGGGGTAGGGAATCAAGGGGTGAGTTGAATAAGGACTAGTAGAGGGAGATAGGAACTAATTTTTTAGTAATAACACACTTTTGTTTTTAACACACTTTTATATAAAGCATAGTCAGATCTACAGTTATTTTTAATGAAATTCCCAGATTTCTAGAATGTTTGTTTCACTTTATAATTTAATGAAGAACATGCACTTTAAATCCAAAATTGTGAAAACTCAATTTTTAGAGGAAACACAGAACAGCAATGAGCAATTTTCTAGGTTTAAAAGTTCGTATAAGTTGAAGGAATTTTAGGAGGATCTTTTTAGTTGCAGGCAACCTGAAAAAGATAGCTAAATGGTAATAAAGCAAAAAACAAAACAAAACAAAAGCCAGAAAAAAAGCAGTTTTTATGATTATATAAATGTATTTATTTCATTTATATGGGAAATCAAGTGAAACTACCACAAAGAAATATTTTACTTCATTTAGAAAAAATTCCATTAAAAATATTATAACCAAATAACCCAAAAGTAACATACTCATCTCAATTTAAGGTATCTAATGTTTCAATATGTTAAAAGAAATAATATCTTAAATTAACTACATAGATTTCAGACACTGGTTATATTATTTTATGGAACACTGGGTTATATGGGCTAGATTCTAATCTAAGCTATAGCACATACTATCTTCGTAATGCTTGGTAAATTATTTAACTAACCTATTTCTCATTCATAAAATAGGACTATTATGTCCACCCTGCCTATCTCAGAAGTTGATTTTACGATCAGAAAATGTATTTCACATGAAAGTATATAAAAGTATAAAATGCTTTGTAGATATAATAATTATGTGATTACTTTTTTTCCATTTTAATGAAAAGCATGAAAATGCAAATGTTAAATTCCAAGATGTGAGATTCTGGCTAATACAAAGTCACAAGTAATGTGTTTGTTTCCCTTAGGAAATAAAAGTATTTAAAATTTAGCCTCAGAAATTAGGGGCCGATACCAAGTTTTCAGCTTTAAAACAAAACAAGAGAGTGAGAGAGAAAGAGAAAGAAAGAATCTAGAAAATTGCCTTATAGATGGAATGAAACATTACAAACATACCCATACCATGTAAGCACTCAAATCATTAACACTATGTACAGACTAATCACTACTAAGAGACATCTGATTTTGACGAGACAGATTCGATGGTTTGAGTTTCTTTTCTGAATACTCAGAAAAGTAATCCCTTTACCCCCTAGGTCAAACTGACAGAGGACAACCAATAAGACAGTAATCAACTGAGCACTGAACACTAGGTCTTATAATGCTGATAAGGGGAGGTCACAGTTGAGGTAGCAGAGCGCCGGTACAAAGTTAAACGTAGCACTCTATTCTGTTCTTGAGAACTGAGTCAAAACTTAGATGACATTTTCTTCAAAAGTGAAGCCACATATCATTAGATAACTTCTTCAGAAATTCTGAAGTTTGTAAACTAAACTACAATTTAAAAGGCTATTTTAGCACTGACATACTCCTTAGAGACTACACAGATACCAACTTCTGAAGATTAGCAACTCAGTCCATGGCATGGTTGTTTTGGTAATTAATATAGTATTAAGTTTTTGTAGCATATTCTGTATCAAACTTATAGCATGCTACCATTTGATCTCAGGCAAATGTTTTAATCTTTTAACCATCATCTCCAATAACAACAACAACAAAAAATCCTCTTATTCTAGTCCTCTATGACCCATATTTAGCAATGACCTCATTACGTCTCTAATACTTTCAAAAAAGTCTTTAACCTTCTGTTCTTTCCTCCTGGCACATCTGTTCCAGTGACCCTGGAAACTATGGCATAGTCAACTGAATTCCAGACATATCAAGACAGAATAGAAGCTGGCTTCTTAACTTCCTCTCCTGAAAATGTGAACTACGTAAACATACCCAAGCTCATCTTTAACGTCTTTGGCACACTCTTAACTAGATTAAGATCCTAAGTATTATCTGTCAATAAGCTATGTTCAAAGTTAAATGAAACCCAATTATTATAGACAGATCAAATATGGACAGAAGGAGAAGGAATGAAAACTAGTGGAACAGGAGATAAAGAAAAAAGATGAAAAAAGGAAAAAATAATAGTTAAAAGAAAGGAAGAATATGTCTCTGAAATGGAGGTCAGAATGAATTAATCAAAGAAGGTTCAACTACAAATCTTCATGGGGCAATGATAAGACTGTAGATAGAGGTAAAAGCAGGGAGTAAGAAAGACAAACAGAACCTAGATCAGTGAAATAAAACAAGAAACATGATAAACTAAATTAACTATATAGTGCAAATACATGAAATGGTCAAAGCAGCAGAAGGAGCTTTATGCAAACAAGAAAACATTCTCTTGATTATAAGGGGAAAGATTTAAGAAAGGGGAGTTTGAGAAAATCATGTTTGGTTTTTTGACTTAATTCAGAGCATTCTTTTATAAGATAGCTTTTATGACTGACAAGTTATGGAATGATTACAGATGGTAAGTTTCACATTTTGGATTTTTATTTCTTATTCTCTCCCCTCCCTTATATCTTATACTTTTTTATGATGAGATTTGGATAGTTACAGTTTCAAACAATGCCTCTTTTCCATTATTTTCAAAAAATAAGTCAATAAAAAAGCTAAGTTGCTTAACAATTTTTTTATCAACAACATCTTACCTTTATTATTGTAGACATCTAAGTAATTAGGTGCCGAAAAAATTGTTATTAATGAAGGGAACCCTGTAGTTTGACTTTTTCTGTACATTCTATAGCTGTAAAACAAATAGCTTAATATGCATCGTAAAGCATCAATTATGAGTTACTAAGTTTGATTTGTACATAAGGTGTTAATTTGGGTCAGGGAAACAGAATTCTTACCCTGCATCTTGAGCTTCATGAGCTCTAATAATCGATAACAAATTATTGTTTTGCAAAAATTCACACACTGCTGGATAGCTGTGGGGGAAAAAAGTAAATTAAGTAAAATAATGGTTTTCTATATGAAATATATGCTATTTTAACAACTAAAATGTGTTTAATCTTGGATATTTTTCCTTACTTATAAAAATAAGAACATCCTCGAACTGTATTGTGACTAAAATGTTCCTGTGATTTTTCATTTCCAAAATCTTCAGAAGGATCGGACCATAGCAAGTCACACATTGGTCCAAATGCAGGTGGCTCTTTGAATCTATCTAACTGTGAAAGAAAGAAAAGAAAGAAACAAAGAAAAGAATAACTTGTCAAAAGTGAGAATAGAATGGACACAGTAAAGTGGTACCAACTTTGAATACTGTCCATACTACATCGTTCTGAAATGGTTAGAGAATATTTCCTTAAAATATCAGTATGGTAATTTTTACCATTACCTAATCTTGGCAGTGAAGAGAAGTTTAAAATTTCTACTCTCTACCCAACAAAGTACTATCAATAGGAACCAACCTTGGAACTACAATATGTACTCACTCTCCTAATATCATCCAGTGTGTGTATTTCTGGTGAAAGTCCACCATGAACACAAAGAAATTGTTGATTTAAAAGTGCAGCAAGAGGCAGGCTATCGAAAGCTTCCATACAAGCTTCATAGACTCTTTCTGAATATTTAATTTTACCTAGAAGAAAAAACAATTGAAAATTACAATACTAGTTGATCATTTTGAAGATTAATCTATCGATCAATCGACCGACCTACCTACCTATCTATAATTGACTATTGAAACCAAGGCAAGAAAATTATAGACACAGATAACAGCTAAGTGGTCACCAGTGAGTAAAGAGGTAACTATAAAAAGACAGCAAAAAGGAATTTATGGGATGATGAAATTTTTCTTTATCATGACTATGGTGGTAGGCAGTTCTATGCACTTGTCAAAACTCAGAACTAAACACTACAAAGAGTGAATTTTACTGTATACAATTTTTTTCTAAAAAGGAAAGCATCTTGCTGTATGAGAATCAATAAAATAAGCAGTGGTATTGGTCTTATGAAGACAAAATATTTGCAGTCTCTAAATTTACTTTGGGTATGCAGCAGATCACCATAAAATATTACTTAAAATAAATAAGTCAAATTTCTAAAAACAGCCCAACCTTTTACCTATTTTATAGGCCAGGTAAAGCTAAATTAGAATTATACTTAAAGCTAAAATAGTTTTAATACTTTATTTTATTGTAAGAGTCAGTGACTACTTTGTTGTTACAGGGAAGATGACTACATCATCACAACAAAACTCAAGGTCCATCCAATTAAAAAAAAAAAAAAAGAAAGAAAAGATAACTTATTCATATATTGGAGAAACAGAGGGGCTCCTCTAGTCTACAATGGTTAAAATGGGCAGTGAAGCATGAAGCCAAAATAACACAAGAGAAAAAAACTCCACCAAATCCAACTGTTAATTTAGTTTTACAGAGATCCCTTTGCTCCTTTATATATTTAAATTCGTGGATATTTTACATTTTTGCTGGAGTTTTGGTGGGTGGTTTGTTGATTATCTAAAGGAAAAAAAGAACTTAATTCTTTTTTCCATTTTTAACACTGTAACATTCAAATATGAGAAAATCTATATCCAGCAACCATCTAAACTGGTAGTTTGCTAACAGATCTGTTTTCCAGCACTGTGGTTCAATAAAATTTTTAAACTGATTGCTTTTGGTCAATGCACTTTCCAGGTCTCATCTTTATTCATTTATTTATTATTATTTCATTATTTATTTGCATTATTTTATTATTTTTATTACGTTATTATTCATAACCTATTCATTTAGGTTACCTACCTGATCTTTGAAGTTATCTGACTTTGCCCCCTCTGCCATTACTTACCACTATATTTTTCTTCTTTTACTGAAAGTATCTAGTAATATGATCTTTACTGGATCATGAGTCTCCATAATTCTGAAATTATTTCTACTCTTAGAACTTAACTCTAAGACTTAGTATAGTCATGAATATTAACTTAATAAGCACACAGTTAAGAGATGTGAAAAAAAGATCAAATACTGCCCTATATCATATTGTTGCTTCTGGCTATTATAGACTGCCATTGCCACAATAATTTAAGAGAGAAATGGGGTAAACATTGTAGGTTAAGAATTTCAATTCATTAACAGTGTATTTGAAACAATCTGCAATGATGACAGCATGAATAATTTAAGAAGCTTCATGAGAGAGCTTCAATATTGGGGGACAAAAGTCTCTAATGCAAAAACAATTTTTTTCCTTTTAGTTTTAGTCTTCCTGTTAAAAAAAATCACTTAAACATTAAAACTATGTACAAAACTCAAAACTGTTTCATATATCTATAAAGGCAAACTTAACAGGAAATACTGAAATGAAAATGTCTGAATGAAACACCATTAACCACTAGAGAGCTCCTGACAATCATCCTTAAAGCTTTATGTGTTTGGACACAAAATCTGTTCTTAATGTTGCACTGTAAATCTTCCAAACTCTTACTACCTCACTCCAAAAGATTACTGAGGAAGTGAAAGTATTTCTCATGGCAATACTCACATTCCTGCTTAAAGGTAAAATATTCAGTAAGGTGTCTGCATTCATGATTGCCTCTCAGAAGAAATAATGTGCTTGGGTAAAGAATCTTCAGGACCCATAAATATAAGACACACTGCAAAAGAAAATGTTTTAAGTGAATTTAACTTATCTTTTTAAGTTGTTTGATCTTTGTTCCTTTTCCTCTAACCCTATTGTCCTTACAATCTCTGTTATTCTTTACTATCTTTTTCTCTTTGTCCTTTACTAAAATATAAGCTCTATGAAATCAGGGACTTTTTCATCTTATTCACACTCATCCTCCACTCCTAGAAAAGTACCTACCAAACAGCAAAAGAATAATAAATATCTGTTGAATGAATGAGTCAATCTATTTAATTACTTTAGATTTATAGACTATTTGTTGTAAAAACAATCAGCAGATTGGTTTCCTTCTTAGGTATATCAATAAATAAAATAATAACTGTGTCAAAAATAACAGCATCTACCATTTACTGAGTACTTACAATGTATCAAGCATTATATATTTAATACCCCTCATTTGTTCCTCAAACAACTCTATGAAGTAAATAATATTATCTCTATTTTATAAATGAGACTGAAGCAAAGAGCTCAAGTAACTTGTCTGAAATTACAAAAACTTTTAAGAGATAGGAATCTGATCTTCTGATCTTAATCATTAAGCCATGCTGTGTTACGAAGGCAATACCCATTTTTTATGTTTATTTTGTTGGTTATACTTGTTGCCTTACATAAGGTAGGGGCTTATTATCTAAACTGATTCAAAGAAAGTATAATTTAAAAAAGAAGAATATTAAAATAAGCAATAAAGCAGATGCTTTTCTCTAAGTAGATTTATTTATTTATTTAGGTTTTATTTTTAAGCAATATCTATACCCAACGTGGGGCTCGAATTCACAACCCTGTGATCAAGAGTCGCATGCTCTACTGACTGAACCAGCCAGGCACCCCTCTAAATATATTTAACACAAGAGACTCACATTTTATTTATTTGGTTAAAAAAAAAAAAAAAAAAAAGGAAAGACATTTCATATGGAAATATAATTATACACAAGAAGAAAAACAAACTTTATTTTTAACAAGTTAAGGTATATTAAAATCTTTAACTACTCACACCTTCATTTTATTCACAAGGAAAAAAGAAACTAAGCCAGGGAAATACTTATTAAACTCTGTCTTTTTTGCTTTCTTTATTATTTTCCTTTTGTAACAGTAAAATATATTAAAAGAGTCAGCTACAAAACATTCTAATACAAGGACATACACACCAATATGCTTAGTTCCCAATAAGCTTCCTAAAATTGTTCATTTTGTTTTTCCAAAGCCCCCAATCTTTTTGTTAAGAAGGGCCATTTTCTGATTTCCTTGCAACTGTGGGGGAAGTTTAAGGCAACTGATGAAGAAACTATGAATAAAGGAAGAACAACTCAGGGGGGAGTAACAAAATTCCTTAGGGAATTTGGGTGGCCAGGGCCCTGAACTCCTTCCTCACTATGAATCCTAGCATACCTCAGAAAGGAGGTTAAAAATACTGGAGAAGGGGATATAAACAACAGGAACCAGCATGGAAATGCACCAGGTAAAGCTTTAATTGTCTACTGGGAGAGGTGGTTAAGAGTACAGGCTTGGAATAAGACTGGCTGTACTGCTTACTAACAATGTGTCCTTGGGCACGGCCTCAGGTTCCTCATCCATAAAATGGATAAAGTAACACTACTTATTTCATATTGTTGTTGTGAGGATTCAATTAATCAGTGTGTGTTATGTGCTTACAATATGCTTGGAACATAGTAAATGCTCAACATAAGTATCTATTAGTAGAGTTTTATCCAACAATTTTACCTCCAAGAATCTGCCCCACAGAAATAATTTAGCAAGTGTGCAAAGATATATATATACACATATACAAAACCTGGTTCACTGAGGTATCATTTGTAATGACAAAAAACTGAGAACACCGTAAGTGTCTAACAATAAGAAATCGATGAAATTAATTGTGGTTTGTTTATTCAACGGAATATAATGCAGCTATTAAAAATATTATAAATTTATATATACTGACCTGGAAAGACATCACAGTATAGAGATATATGAAAAAAGCAAGTTACAGAACAACATTATAATATGGCCACATTTTCAATTAAAAAAGAAGAGAGATGCATATATTAGAAACGGCAGATTGTTCTATATTTACCTTATTTTATTTATATAATTAGAGAAATAAAAGGAGCAAAAAGAACCATGTACTGTTAAGTAATGATCAATAGGTCATTTTAATGCCTCTTAAGTTTTTTAAAAGAAATGAATACTTTCAGAATACACAAAAGACTTGGGTCTTAATAGCTATAGAAGGTGGGATAGAAGCACTACGGTTTAAGCAATAAAAGCATTATAGTATGTTTTATTTAATCAGAGAAAATTCAATTAATCTTTTTTCACATGGGGTAATTAATGCCTTTAGGGGCAAAAGAGATAAATAGCACTAGCTCCTTAGGGCCACTAGATAACAGAACAATAAAGAACCCTCAGTTTGCACATAATTTCCACTGGGAAAAATGGCAATTATAATTTCATAAACATAGTAATACAAAGAAAACAGAATAGTTTGAAAGGCGGAAGAGAATAAATAGTAGTTTTACCTAAAAACTTCAGAATATGCAGAGGTATTAAAAAGAACCCAATATAGGTACTTTAAGGAACTTATTTTACTAGGAATTAATGGAAATCATCTATGGTAACACTTAAAAGCAAATCAAATGACAGTATTATGATTATTACCTCTATACTAAAATAACCTCTGTCCACATAATCACCAAGAAAAAGGTATCGTGTATTAGCAGGTGATCCTCCTACTTCAAAAAGTTTCATCAGATCAAAAAATTGGCCATGGATGTCACCACACACTGAAACAAGAAGATTATTAGATATGAAAAAAAACTCTGAAATAACAAATTTTACTTAAATTCTAATTTCTTTCACATAAGAGATAATGTAAATTCTATCAAGAAATGTCTCAGAAGGAAGTCAGAGTCTATGAAGAGTCCTAATAGGGATGATGTACCCAAGTGTTCATGTGCTCAAGATCTAGAACAAGATTTAACAAAAATAATGAAATTTGTAGTTAGTGACAAAATTTTCACCTAAATTTATAAAGTTCCTCTTCAGGAAGCCAAGCTTATGTTTTAAGATTACAAAATTATAATGGTGGCAGTTAAAATCTCCATTCTAACGCAACACTTTCTATTGACTGCTATGTTGACACTGAGGTATTTTCCCCTAATAATTGAAAGCAAAGTAAATAAGAATTTGTTGAATCAAATTGGATTATGGCCAACACAACTGATGAAACCTTCACAAAAACATATTAGACCAACTTCTGCACTCAGGTTACTTAGGATCATGCTTATTCACTAAAAACAGGCAAAAATTAAAAAAAATTACAAAAAATAATTTGGAAATTCAAGATAATGTCCATGTAATATTAATTTAGTATACCATACACTGAAGAATAAGCAGCCCTATATCCAAGCAACCAAATAATGGTATAATCAAAAAAACAATATCCAAAACATAAATAAGTATACCTGTAATTGGAGCCTCTACTTCTATCATGGTTTTCTCTCTCCGAAGGATGGCAGCACCCTCATTGATAATTCTAAGTGCAATTTCTTCATCTACCCGACCTTCTTTTACTAAGTGATTCTTCAGAACATCAACCCTGGGTATCCCATCCATATCAAATACTTCTTCAGATGTCAAGCGATGTGTTGGGGGAAAAGGTACAGCTGCAATTTTTTTTAATTAATAAAAAATAAATCACCATTAATATATTAACATAAATACTAATTAATGGATCTAGATAAACAAAAGTAAAACTTGAAAAGCTAGAGTGTTTATTTATTTACTGGATAGAGGTGTTAATTTTTTAAAAGGTTTTTTAAAGAAGAGTAATCAAATTATACTTTTTACTTATATATAATAGCATGTTCTTTGTTGAGACTTATTAGAGAAATGAACTGCCTCAAAATTAAAAGTTCTTTCAGGATAACTAAAGTTTTCTTTAAGCGATAACATTTTTTGGCAGAATTCTCAAAACATACACTCTTCACCTTAAGGAAGCACAATAAATGTAACTTAAACCTGAATAGAAAGAAATCCCAAATATAAAGTGACATACCATGTTTATAATAAGGAAGTTAAAAACAATGTTTTCTGCCCAACTTGAAAAGAAACTCTCCAGGGACACCTGGGTGCTCAGTTGGTTGAGCATTCAACTCTTAATTCTGGCTCAGGTCATGATCTCACGGTTCACCCACGTCAGGCTCTGTGCTGGCTGCATGGCTGCCTGGGATTCTCTCTCTTCCCCGCTCTCTCTGCCTCTCTCTCTCTCTCAAAAATAAATAAACATTAAAAAAAAAAAAAAAAAGAGCTAGGGTCACCTGGGTAGCTCAGTCAGTTAAACATCCAACTCTTGATTTCAGCTCAGGTCTTGATCTCACAGTCATAAGATCGAACCCCACGACAGGCTCTGCACTGACAGTGAGGAACGTACTTGGGATTCTCTCTCTCCCTCCCTCTGCCCTTCCTCCACTTGCTCTCTTTCTCTCTCTCTCAAACATTTAAAAAAACAGCTAGTTCCTCTTAAAAAACAAACAAATAAACAAAAAAACCCCAAGAAACCTTAGGGGCGCCTGGGTGGCTTTAGTTGGTTGGGCATCCAACTTCAGCTCAGGTCATGTTCATGAGTTAGAGCCCCACGTCAGGTTCTGTGGTGACAGCTCAGAGCCCGGAGCCTGCTTCAGATTCTGTGGTTCCCTCTTTCTCTGCCTCTCCCCCTCTTGCTCGTGTGTGCTCTCTCTCTCTCTCTCTCTCTCTCTTTCTGTCTCTCTGTCTCTCAAAAATAAAGACATTAAAAAATTTTTTCTTAAAGAAACTTTTAGAGATATAGATAAAACAAATATTTATAAAATTTAAATTCATTTAGATGCAAATATAGATTTTTTTCCCTAGTGTTTATTTTTGAGAGGGGGGAGAGGGGCAGAGGAAGAAGGAGAGAAAGAAATTCAAGCAGGTTCTGTGCTGACAGCACCGATGATGCAGGGCTCAATCTCACGAACCATGAGATCATGACCTGAGCCCAAATCAAGAGTTGGACGTTTAACCGACTCAGCCAACCAGGCATGCTGCGCACATAGATTTAAAACAGCATTAATAAATGGTAATTTTGAAATACTGCTTTTTCTCCTACCTCCTGTTTTACAAAACATCTTCATTCAAAATCTTTATGCGCATCTTTGACATCAAATGTATGTAATGCATTCCTTATCACTGTAGGCATTTTTAAGTCATCTAACACTTTTTTCAAAGGCTAATCTTCACTTTCATTCAAGTTGTTTGATATATCACTTATTGAATACACATAAAATGTTATCACTGCAAATTAATCCTAAGCCACAGTTCCCATATATATTACCAACTGTACTCTAAAACTGCTATTGGGAAACAGAATGAGAAACTAAAAGGTCTATTTTCAACAGTATCTAGCACAATTTTGAGGTTCTATACCTAGGAAAAATTACTACATATCTGTTAAATTTATTTGACTCCTTTTCACTGACTCCAACAAGTGGCCTCATTAAACATTCAAAATCAGCTTGAAGTAGTTTTACGCTCTTTACCAAATAGTACTTTGTTTCTTAAAACAAAGCAAGAGAATTTATAGTAAAAGTCTGTATATAGTCTCAAATGTAAGGCAGCTCCCTCTTTTCTGAAATATTGTTTTAGAAAAAACTCACTTTATATTTGGGCATACACCATATAGTATTTTCTTGATGTTTCAGAGTCATCACTGTAATTATCAATTATTATACAGAAGCCTGGAAATGTATAGGACCAATTGCTTCTTTACATTTCAACTTAAACTAAAAAAACTAAAAACTGGAGCCTGGGTTAGAATTATATCAATTACCTGAGAAAGAATAATTAGTAACCATGTTCTATCTTACTGGGAAAAAAAAAAAAAAAAACAGGACTAACTCAATACTCTGGAAGTGAGATAAGAACTAGGCAGAGGGATGTCAACCAATTCTAAAAGACTTTGAAATCACCAATCCCTCTTGCTTTCTTTGATACTTAGTAAAACAAAATTGGAACTTCTTTACTTGCTCTTCATTAGAACACATATATTCCCATTACTTTTTACCACATTTAGAACAAAGTATTAAAACACATTTTGTTCCCTCAAGTATAGTATGTCCAGAGTCTAATAAAATAAAAATCTCTGTTAAAGTATGTTTTTCTCTAGCCATAGACTAAACAGACCAAACTTGCCCCTAATCAGTAAACTAATTGTTTAAGAACTGCAGATTTTAATAACTGATTGCTAAATAAATCACAAGGTGCTCTGAGACATTACAAAAAGGAAAAGCTTAAATATCTCAAACACAAATTTCTGAGATCAAGATGGGATCACATTTTTCTCATCAGGCCAAGAAAAATTTTTTAGCACTCTATTCAGGAAAACAGATACTCTTTAAGATGTTGCATTCTAGATTATATATACTTTCTAATAATCAAAAACAAAGTTCCACTCCTGGCTGAATTCTATTCAAACTGCAGAACTTCCTAAAAACCCAACTGGGAGACCAGCCCCATCCCCACAATTCAACCAGTCACCAGTGTTACTACGTATTTTCATGCACACTGTGAATGCTCCACTGCAATTCACACTGAAGTATTACCCCCAAGAGCCAAAGCGCCTTTATTTATCTAAAAAACTGCTCATGGGTAAGTCATCTATAGACCTATGCTCTTCCACTTTTTCAACTCAAGGCATACTTTTACATGTCAAGACTAGCTGGGATACATTCTAAGGAATGTACAGGTTGAAAGATAAAGAAATGCCATCACAGATAAAAGCAGATGAAAACTTTAAATCAGTGTTATTCTAACAACACAATGCTGAAATTAGAAAATGAAGTTTCAAAAGAATATATTTTAATATATCAGTAAATAAGGAAAGGCATGTAGAAAGGCATAAGAGGAAAAAGGCATGTGCTCTTTGTAGAAGGAGAGAGGAGTTGTAGCAGGTGATCTGACCAGGCAAAAGAAAGCCAACCAAAATAGAATTTGGCCTAACAGGGGGTTAATTATTGACCCTACTGGTCAAAGAGTTAAAAAAAATTTTTGTCATCAAAAATTAATATTCTTGGGGCTCCTGGGTGGCTCAGTCCGTTGAATACCTGACTCTTGATTTCGTTGCAGGTCAAGATCCCAGGGTTATGGAATAAAGCCCCACATCAGGTTCTGCCCTGAGCATGGAGCCTGTTTAAGATTCTCTCTCTGCCCCTCTCCACTTGCACACACCCTCTAATAAAAAATATATATATATATATATTTTTTCTCAACTACTTTAATTCCTAAGTCATTTTACAGCATTCCCATCTATTTTCAGGCTTTTAAATTTTTTTCTTTTGGGGAGCCCGGATGGCTCAATTAAGCATCTGACCTGATCTCATCTCAGGTCATGATCTCACCATTCTGTTTGGGAGACTGAGCGCAAGCAAAGTCTGCTCCCTTGCTCTCTGCCCCTCCCCCACTCATGCATGTGTACTTCTCTCAAAATAAATAAACAAAAAAAAGTTTTTCTTTTTATTTCTAATTCATCTTTAGCCAATTATTCCTGCTTTTCTAGGATATTCTTCTAATACATTTTTCCTCCTTATTTTCAGACTATTTTTCCTACTCTCCTATATTTATGATAGGAAAAAAGCAGAATATAAATATATGCAAATGTAATGTGAATGGTCAATAACTGAGATGGCTAAAAATGAGGATTAGCTAGAATAAAGAGCTACAAAATAATCTCAAATCACCAAGTTTCCAACACTAGGAAACTTGAATTGGTAATATTCATTTGACCAACTATTCTGTTGAAACATTTCCTTTAACCCAAATTTTGGCATGAAGCACACACATCTATATAGTAATCAATAACATTCACAAGTTATTTTCATTCAGATTTAATGTATGGCAACTAAAAAAATGTATAAAGCAAGTTTTAATTTAGGAAGTTGGAAAAACAAACCAGGGATAGTATTGACCAGGGATAGGGGAAGAACAGATACACTTTTTCTACTACTGGGTAAGGAATCCTAGAAATCAACTAACTCCTCCTATTCCCCAACTCTAAGCAAAGGCTACAAAAGTATTAGCTAGCCCTACAAGGCCGCCAACACCAACTGGGGTACATGCAGCCTATGTCAACTGAACAACTTTACTACAAAGAATCATTCAGAGGCCTGTGCTTCTGATCATTGCCATTATTGGCAACTATCCAAATAAAGTCTCTCCTGTCATCTACATTTCTGACTTTTTCTCAGTATTTCTCTTACACCACACCATCTCTGGCTGTTCTCCTCCTTCTCAATCCTCTTCATTTAAGCCTCCAGAAATCCCATCATTTAAAAAAAATATTTATTTTTGAGAGAGAGAGAGAGAGAGAGAGAGAGAGAGAGAGAGAGAGAGAATGGGGGAGGGGCAAAAGGAGACGGGGACAGAAGATCCAAAACAGGCTCTGGACTGACAGCAGAGACCCTGATGTGGGGCTCAAACCCACAAACCACCAG